TTTAAGTTAGATGAATTTATAATACACATCATTTTGTAGGATCTTAATTTTAATATTGAAAACGGTCAATAAATATTTAATTTGTTCAGTCTAATGTGCTTTATGTATAATAGTGAAGAAGCTTAATATTTAAATTAGCAGGTAGACTTGTATAGTAAATAGTATTGTAGGGTCTTGATTTTTCTATTAAATTTAGTATTTTATTATATAAATATGTTTGGTCTCAACCTTAATGTTTAAGCTACTCATGTAAATTTCTATAATAAATGATATTGTAGGATTTGAAAGTTTATATATGAATTAGTCAGACACATTTATAATCTTCATAAATAATATTGCAGGGCATTAAATTGTTATATTTAAATCGGTCGGGTGAATTTGGTCTAATAAATAATATGTTAGATTTGTTATTTGAATATTTATTTTGTTATTTATCCTTTTAAATCTTTAATGTAGCACTTTAAGATTTTGTTGAATTAAAAAGTGCATTACAAATAAAATTGATTATTATTATTATTAATAATAATAATAATAATAATAATAATAATAACAAATATTGTAGGATTTCAACCTTATTATTTATATTCGTCACAAAAATGTGCATCATATATAATACTAGAATAATTTTAGAACTACAACTGCTCAGTAAATTGCTATAATAAATAATATTGTAGGTTCTTCAGTTTGATATTTAAAATAGTCAGTATATATGATCTTAATATTTAATTGAATTTAATTAAGGTAACTTGTTCAATATATTTAGCAGTTTGCTCCCAACTGTAACACTTAAGTTAATTACGTTATTATTATTAGTAGTAGTAGTAGTAGTAGTAGTATTGTTGTTATTATTATTATTATTATTATTAATAATAATAATAATAATGTAAGATTTCAAACTTCATGTTTAACCCAGTCACAGTCAGATACATATATAACATACATTTTATCATTTTGTAGTCTGATGATCTTAATCTTTAATTTAATTAGGGTCATTTGCATATTATATTTAACTGCTTGATGGCAACCATAATATTTAAGGTAGTTGTGTAAATTTATTTATTTATTTTTTATAACGATGACTATATTATTAACTAAGTTGGTCATATTTAAGTTTAGGACCTTAATATTTATATTAGTCACATGTATTTCTGTGGGGTCATAGCCTCATGAAAACCACTGCAGCCTCCATTTAAATCAGCTATCAGCGTGTTTATGTCCATGTTTGTGTTTGTTTGTTTGTTTCCTGCATCTCTGAGGATGTCTGAGATGTGACCTAGTCGTCCGGTTCTGACTCTGGAGATGTTTAGCAGCCTCCGCTCTGCTGGGAAACGCCCTGCAGACGCCTTAAAGGGGATTAATTGGTTCAGGGGAAACAATAGCTGACCTGACAGTCATGCAGAACTTGCAGGGACTCGTGCAGCCTGCTGGGCGGCCGCTGCAGCGCTGCATTGGCTCATCAACAACACCCACACAGTGAGGAGTAATCAAGTCCTGATGGCCAATCGCACACCAATCAGGAATCCCACAGCACAAACTCTGCCCTGCAGCAACGCAGATGCACGAGCGATGGTGCAGAAAACAAAGACCTGTCTGTCAGGTGGAGCTGCTCACCTGCGATCACGTGACCCGGCAGGCATGTTGCAGGCTGTCACGCTATCAGCTGACGTCTCTGCTCCTCTGCAGGCTTTGACTTGAAGCGCAGCAGAGAAATGTAGGGCAAGAAACAGAAACTACTTCTCAGATCGATGCACAGAGGTGAGCTGCAAGTAACAAACAGTTTTTATTCCTCACATCAGACATAAATCAGAAGCCAACCCTGACAGTCTGAATCCAGGGATTAACAACGCAGCCATCAATCAGAGGAGAACCATTAGAGTGTCAGAGTGTTTTCTAAACGGTTAGATAAGCAGGACGAGTCGCAGGAATGAGACACAGATGATTCATGTGGGGAATAAAATCCACACAGACCTGCAGCAGCAGCTCAGAGACACAGCGGAGGCTCGTGTTTGAAAGAGGGTTTGGCGCCATCTGCTGTTTCAGGCTTTTATTGTGAAAAGAAAAAACTGACGGTAAATAAAACTGTTTATGTGAAAGTTTAAGAGGATTTAATAATAACTAACAATCAGAACAACTGAATTATGATCCCTGTTTCTATTTTAAATAAATACGAATATTATAATAGTTGACAATAAAAAAACGAATATTAAACAATAATAATAGTTTTTTTTTTTGCATTTTTTGTAATTAACTAATTGTGTTTGTAATAATTCATAGTTGTTGTTTTTTAAGATCACTTTAGTTTTAATACCTTTAATGACAAATATCTTATTAATCAAACTACAACTAGTTAAATTGTTTTTATGTTTAGCAGTAATAATAATTTGTTTTGGTATCAATAGTAAATATAAATATTGTTTTTGTTGTCGTTATTATTTTCATGATACTGATTATTGCTATATATGTTGACAATACATAATATTAAACAATATGACAATAATAATTAATAAAGCATATTTTTATGTAGCACAATTATCAATCAAATGTATTATTTCTAATAAATCGCAATGATTATTATTAATAATTATGATCACTATTATGTTCATATATTTTATTATGAAAACAAATAAAAGCTAAATAAATGATTGTAGTAATAATATTAATATTAATAATAAAAAATATATTTTGTAACTAATTTTGTTATAATTACTTTAAAATAACTTAATTACTTGCAAATCAAAGTTTACAGTTTTTATTCACCAGACACATTTCTGTTCCCAGCATTATTTAGATATTTATTTATTTATTTATTTTATTTATCTTTTTTTTGTTTTTTTGTTTTTTTGTTTAAATGTCTGGACTGATTTCTTCCTTAAGAAAAAAAAAGTCATGGCTATTATTAATAATAATAATTATCATTATGGGCTGCACAGTGGATCAGTGGTTAGCACCATCAGCTCATAGCTAGAAAGTCGCCGGTTTGCGTCCCAGTGAGGACACCCGGGGTCTTTCTGCATGGAGTCTCCATGTTCTCCCCGTGCAGCGTGGGTTCTCTCCGGGTTCTCCGGCTTCCTCCCACAGTCCAGAAACATGTTGAGGTTAATTGGTGATTCTAAATTGTCCGTAGGTGTGAATGTGAGTGTGCTTGGTTGTCTGTCTCTAAGTGTAGCCCTGTGATAGACTGGTTACCTGTCCAGGTGAACCTGCCTTCACCCTGAGTCAGCTGGGATAGACTCCAGCCCCCCATGACCCTAGTGAGGATTAAGGTGTAGAGATGATGGATTATTGTCATTATTATCATTAGTAGTGGTAGTTGTGTGAATTATATTGTTTACGTTTTACTTTCTAGAGGAGTTCTGGGGAGATATGACTAAATAAACAGTCGATACAGAGTTACTGTTCGTTAGCAGAAAGCTGAACATTTAATGAACAAAATCATTTCTGTCTGTATATCAGAGATATTAAATTATTTAAGTATATTTTCATAAAGCACATTCATAAAGCTGATAAATTTCTGTATATGTTTTTTCATCCTATGAACCATCAGATCTTCTGTTTGTGACCTTTTAATTTAAAAAAGTGAGGCAGCGTTTAGTTATTATGGTTTATTTATAGATATTCAGTCTGTTTTATCTCTTGTTTATCACTTTGTTTTTTATCTTTTAACTGATGATGATTTATTCTGACTTTGCGTTTCACTAAAATAAAAGTCCGGTTCATTGATTGGACGTCCACTTCAGTAATCTGGAAAATAGAATAAGTGCAGTGTGAAGAGCTCGTTCTGCAGAGCGTCATGAAGCACACTGTGCTCATTGTGGATGAAGGAATCAGCTGATCCTGATGAGCTCATCGGGGAGTTTTCCAGGTTCGGTTGATTTTCTGCTGTTTACACTCAGACGTTTTATGTGTTTGTGTCTGAGGAGATAAAGTCAAAGAACACGCAGAATCCGGTGGCGTGTTCTGATCTAATCTGGCAGCAGAAGCATCTTCAGCTCGTCTCGTTCTCAGTTAAACTTTGTCCAGGATCGTCGTCACCATCATAACACACCGAGTCGTCTGACACGAGCATCGTCGTCCTCTGTGGGGCTGGTTATCAGGGCAGCAGGAACATCTGGGCCCAGTTCTGTGCGTTTGCTCGGCTCACACAACCTGTTGCATCACCTCACTGATACCAAAACTTTATTGACACAACGCAAAACAATTTAAGGCACGATTTCACTCAGAATCTAAATCCCAGCACTGCAGGCCGCTTTTAGTCTTAATCAGACTTTCATATGAAACGTTTGTGTTTTAATTACTGCACGATAGCTAAATTACTTCCTTGATGTTTAATTTTTTTATGTCTACTGTCACAAATATACATAATTTAGGCTATCAATTAAAAAATTACTTTAAAAAATAGTGACTTTTTAAAGGATTTATAGCGAAATTTGACTAATAAACACTAATCTGATGCCTAATTTCTGTTTTTTTTAGCAGAAATCTGGTGAAAATGTGAATAAAATACCAAACAAGGAGGATTAATTCAATTAGGTTTATTTTAAAACAAAACATGTGAACAAGTGGTGACCCAACAGGAAGAAAACCCCTCTACATGTGTGCATTTTTTCATAAAGAAATAATAATGAACCTTTTAAATAGTTAGAAAATTCATTTATAGTAATTTAATACATTATTTGAACAGAGATAATTGAAATCACAGCCCTCTCAGGCGGCTGTATACAGCTTCACTTCTCTTATTTTTAATTTATTTTATCTAATTTGCATGTGAAGCATTCAAAACATGTGAATTATTGTTGCTAAATTTATTATAATTACTAAAAAATAACTAAATTACTTACTTTATGTTTAATTTTTCCCATTTACATATAATTTAAGCTATCAATTTATAAAAAATACTTAAAAAATAACAACTTTTTAAAGGATTTAAAGTGAAATTTGACTAATAAACACTAATCTGATGCCTAATTTCTGGTGAAAATATGATTCAAATCCCAAACAAGGAGGATTAAATGAATTTATTTTCAAACCAAACATGTGAACAGCTGGTGACCCAACAGGAAAAAAAACACTCTACATGTGTGCATCTCTTATAAATAAGTCATAATAAACCTTTTAAATCATTATACAATTTATTTATGGCAAATTTAATACATAAATTTAACACAGAGAGAATTAAAATCACAGCAACCTCCCACTTCTCTTGCTTCTTATTTCACTTGTGTAAAAACATCCATTTTTTTATGCCCACTATTACAAATATATATATATAATTCAGGCTATCAATAGGAATTACCTAAAAGTATAGAGAGATATGAGTAAATAAACACTAAGCTGATCCCTAGTGACTGTGTTTTTGCAGAAGGATGAACATTTTTGCGTCCAGGCCGTCTATCGGGGGGATTTAGGCGCATTTTTCAACAAAATATGTGAATAATTTGTGACACAGGAAGAAAAACTACATGTGGATATTTTTCCATAAATAAATAATAATGAACATTTTATAGTGATATGCAATATAAAGTGGTTTCACGTGAAGAATTTAAATGTCGGCGCTCACAGGGACAGAACCAGAACTCTCCATGTGAGGGATGAACCGTCTGGACTTGTTTCCTCCTCAAGAGACGAGAGAGAAATCCCAGTTTCCTGCATTTGTGTGTTTTTTTCCTCTTGAATAATGTGAAGTAACGACCGCTCAGCGTTTCTGGCTCCTCGGGCCAGAAGCCAAAAGCTCTGCTGTGTCGGTTCTGGTTCCAGCAGCGGCGGTGGGGGAGGAAAGGCGATAGTCCACTGGGGATCTCCTCTCTGCTGCAGATACAGTAACTTCTCGCTTCAGTTTCACAGCCGTGGCCGTGGCCGTTGTTGCGTCAGGCCGAGCAGACACACTCTAAACACACGGCGTTGCACAACCCAGCTGTGAACTCTGGCACAGTTTAACCGCGACCCACGGCTCGTTTTACTGCAGCAGCCCCTCGGAGCCGAGGATCAGGTCCGACTCGGAGCTGAGGATCAGGTCCGACTCGGAGCCGAGGATCAGGTCCGACTCTGAGCCGAGGATCAGGTCCGACTCTGAGCCGAGGATCAGGTCCGACTCGGAGCCGAGGATCAGGTCCGACTCTGAGCCGAGGATCAGGTCCGACTCTGAGCCGAGGATCAGGTCCGACTCGGAGCCGAGGATCAGGTCCGACTCTGAGCTGAGGATCAGGTCCGACTCGGAGCTCTGAGGCCCGTCAGAGCAGAACCCTGTTAGGCAGCGATACAGGCTCGTCTTGGTCAGGTTTCTGTACACAGCTGCACAGAAACAACGTCTCCATCTGAACCTTCTGCCTCCAACTTGAGGGTTTTGCAAATTAAATTAAATCGTAGTTTTCGGCTGAACTGCAGGCAGTGTTGGACTACAGCAGCAGATTAGTGGTAGAATAAAATAAAGGTGGCTCAGCTAAAACACAGTGAACAGAGGAGCAAGCTGCTGGACGATACATTCAACACGGTGAAACATCTTAATTACTCCTAAATGAGGAGACTGATGACGATCATTTGAGCTTTAAAACCTGCCTGTCAGTCAGTAAGACAAAGTGTCGTCATTCTCATGTTCCTCCATCTGGACTTTCTGCCTACAAGTCCTGCAAAACTCTCATTTTCTGCAGTTTCACTTTGCAAAAAACGGCGCAAGAAGAATTAATCGATTGTTGTTAACTAATCACCAACTACTTTAATATTTTTTAATAGGAGTCGACCGACTTTTCATGTAAACGTCTATTTTGTTGGTCGAAGACGTTCAACTTGAGGGTTTTGCAAATTAAATTACTGTAATTTTCAGCAGACTGCAGGCAGTGTTCCCACAGAATAGAGAGAAAACAAGTGAAGGAACAAATCAACGACAAAGTAAATATATTTGAGTGATAAAACAAACGTGTCTCGGCTAAAGAACAGAGCAACAAGCTGCTGAAGATACATTCAACACGGTGAAACGTCTAAGTGGTGAAAAAACCCTAAAGTCTGTCGTGGTTGTGAAACTCTAAGTAGATAAACGTGTTTAGAAACAGGGTTGATACAGATTATTTGTGGATGAAGAGACTGAAAACTGATCATTTCTGACTTTAAGCTTTGAAACCTGTTGGTCTGTTCTGCTGCTTTTTTTAGTCCAATAAGTTTAACTTGAGTGTTTAAATTAAAATACTGCATTTACCAAAATCTTTTTCAGCTGAACTGCAGGCGGTGTTTCCACGGAGACCAGACGAGTGTGGTAGCAGCAGAACTAAACAGACCTGAGCAATCAAACAGACGTGGCTCGGCTCAGAAGCAGCGAACAGAGCAGCAGGTTGCTGGACGATCAACACGGTGACACGTCTGACTGGTGAGCAGAGGAGCAGCAACAGGACGTCCTGATGAACGAAGCTAACGGCGTTTTGTTTCACCTGGTCGGCGTCCAACATCCCTCACAGCGCAGCTCGATTTAGTGTCGAAGCTCTTCAGCAGCAGCAGGTTCCCCGACTTTCTGCTGACAGCCTCTCGAGTGATTTTTAACACAGCTCTGGAAACGTTGCCATGACGACGTGTTATTTAGGAGATCCCGACCCGCTGATTGACGGCAGTGATTCATCTGTGGACTGTGTGGAGCTGCTGGATCTTAAACGTCCACCTGCCTGCCATCAGAAAGGAGTCTTACTGCTGCTCATCTGGTGCGATACGTTTAATTTACTGCACGATAACTTCCTGTATTTGCTTAAGAACTACCCTCATCGTCTTTCTTTGTAGCCGTCTGAATCCCAAACATGTCGACAGGATTTAAAGGAATGTTATCTTTAAAAAATTGCCAAAATTCTGCCATTTTCAGAGCAAAAAAAAAACTAAGAGAGACTTGTTGGATTTTCTGGTTTTGGTCTCTAATCGTGTGCGACTTCTGGTTCCCTGAGGAGAACGATCCAAATCTAAGCTCATCACTTCATCCTACGTATGTCCCGTTTGTACATTTTCCAGAAATAAACCAGTCGCACCAGATGAAGACTAAGAATTTAGTCAAGAAGTCACGACCATCAGCGTCACGACAAACACTGTGTTCATTGTCGGCTGAACTGCAGGCAAAACGAGCAGAAAGGAGGCAAGTACGGGAAGAAATTACTGAGATTTGGAGCAAAATAAAACATATTTGAGCAAAAAATGAAAATAAAAACCAGCATACAGAGGAGCGGGATACATTCAGCTCAGTAGTGTGACCTAGTTAGTAGAGTTTTTGTAATTGTTGTGCAACATATTAAACAAAACGTACAGAAGTCATGAGTTTGAGTCGTAGCTGTTCTGTTTGTGAAGAGCTGCAGGAGTTTATATTGCAGCGCAGAACGAGCCCACAGTGAGGACGAATGTGATGGTCAGGGTTGAAGCAAATAAATAAATAAGAGCAGAAAACAGGAAGTGAGTGTTTTCTGTCTTTCTTTGGTCAGACCTGATGGTGGTTTGAGGGCACAACCAGGAAGCTTTGGTCTCTGATTGTTGATCTGCATCCAGTGATTTCAGATTTTATGTCCAACAGATGGAGCTTTAAACCGGCGCCCCTCTGGGTTCGATGTTTAACCAGCTGCCCCCCACGTGGATCACATTTCTGATCATCAAACACCTTTTTTTTTTTTTCTCTCTCTCTCTCTGCAGATTGAACAAAGAGCTCTGCAGACCCAAACATCTCCGGTGCCACAGAAAGGACGGGCTACAGGTTCTGGTCCAGCCAGCGGATGTAGTTGTTCATGCTCCTCCACCCGACGTCGGACATCATGGGCAGGTAGGCGAACACCATGCAGCCGTGGAAGCCGTCCTCGTAGTGGTCGCTGGTCACCGGGACGCCGGCGTCCTGCAGCCTGCGGCCGTACATCAGCCCGTCGTCCCTCAGCACGTCGAACTCACACGTCATCACGTACGCTTTGGGCGTCCTCCCCAGAACCCCCCGCTCCGCCAGCAGCGGCGCCGCCCTCACGTCCGTCAGCCCCGGCACCCGGCCCACCACGCCGGCCGACCCCGTCTCCCTGACAAGCGGCCGGAAGTGCTTCCTGCGTTCGGCCGGCAGCAGGCCGGTCCAGTCCAGCCGGGACCGGGCCTCGGCGCTGATGCCCGGCTGGTCCAGAGAGCTGTGGTTGTTGGCGAGCAGCAGCGGCTCCAGCGAGGAGTCGGCGCCCAGATACTGCAGCCAGAAACGGGCCATGACGGGCCGGTAGAGGATGGGCACGGCCTGGTTCTGCTGGTAGGACGGCGTGTGGAAGTCCAGCGCCTGCAGCACCGGATAGATCAGCGCCTGGGCCTTGAACTTCACCTGCAGAGTGTCGTCTGAGCTGAGCTGCACACACAAGACCGGTTTATGGAATCAGTTCAACTAAAAACGTGAACCGGCGACCTTCTAGCTGTGAGGCAACGATGCTAACCACCGAGCCACCGTGCAGCCCAAAATTAAAAACATCACTCTAAAAAAAATTGCCCCCCCAAAAAACCCATTTGCTCTCTCAAGACTCTGTAAAATATATATATATATAAATTCTGCACAACTCAGGTCTTAAAAATCTGACAAAAATGTAATTGAACCAGATTCAGTGAAAAAAACAAAAACTGGCAAACTGATGAGTCGACATATTTAAAAACAAATCAGACAGCAGGAGCAAAAACAAAACACCCAGAACCTGCTTGGAGTTCAGGTTGTTCATGTATTGAACAGCTACTGTCTGTATGATGCTGATTGTGTTTTTTAATGTGTGTTTTCTCTGTAACAGGATTTCCAGCTTCTGTATTAACAGCTTGAGAGACGAGCTGGAGCTGCTGTGTTCTCTGTTCAGTCAGAGACGTCCCCAAACAGGTAAGACAGCATTTTAATGCATGTGTTGACTCAGAGCTGAGGGACAATATCACTCTGTTTATGCATGCAGATGATGAATTACGTCTAAAACACGTAGATTACTGGAGGACAGAGTGATCCCAGGTCCCTGATGTGTTTGTTTTGTACCTCCTGAGCCACGGCGGCGGCCAGGTTTCCCCCGGCGCTGTCTCCAGACACGCACAGCCGCTGAGGATCGACGCCGTAGCGCTGCAGGACCTGAGCGGACAGGAAGGCCCGCGACGCCGCCAACGCGTCGTGGTACTGATCCGGGAACACCGCCTCCGGAGCCAGACGGTAGCTGTAGCAACAGGAGAACGACATCATCACAACCACAGTCACTAAAATACAGCAGGGAGGCTCACGTAGTTGGTTTTTTATCCATTTCCAAGAAGAAAACAGAGATATTCTATTCAAAGGAATGTTTTAAGTGTATTTTCTACATGAATTTGTGTTTCAGAGCAGAAAATAATCGTATTTTTGCGGCATTTTCAGCCTCAGATCAGCTGAAATCATGTCCGTGATCATCAAACTGCTGAAAAACCCCAAACTTACAACAATAATGAGCCTCCTTTGGGAAAGAGTTTGATGGATTTGTTCCACCATGTTTCGCATCATACCTTTCACACAAATAGAATGTAAAAGTGCTTCCAGACGAATAAAACAAACAACACAATCCTCCCATAAATAATAAATGTTCTGATAAATGAAGGACGCAATAGAAGCTGAGGGAGGATGAAGCAAAATAAATAAAAACGAAGCAATGATAAACAGATAAAAGAGACTAAAATGTCTTAATAGTCGGACACATAAATGTAGAAAAAGGCCTGAAACTCACTCGACAGACATGACGACAGCGTCCAGGTCTTCGGCCATCTTCCTACAGAGGAGGTCGTAGGAGCGCATCCCTGTGAAGCAGGAACTCAGTGACTGATGCTGACGTCATGTTTAACATATTAGAAATAATGCAGCTTGCTTCATGGCACTTTTTTCTCTTTTCTACTCGGTTCCCTTCATAATTTATGTAGTTTTTCTTTCATCTTGACTTCTGAACTTTGAGGATGTTGTCGCAAACTTACGCTGCAAGTTTCCAAAACTACCAAATACATCAGAACGTTGATAAAATCTGGGATAAAGTGATGAAGACATCTGGAATATTTCCATTTGTTGGCCCGTTCTTCAAAAAAAAGTCTTAAGTTTGAACCACAGAAAGCCTGAGTTTGAGTATTTACCTCAGATTTAATGAGCTGTGAATAATGTGGTGTTTTTAACAACCGTAAAGCTGCTTCAGGGGAAACATTAAAAGTTATTTATGCAGATAAAAAACAAACAAAAGTCCTGATTGTGTTTAAAGAGTCGCTGCTGTGCATCCAGAAGTCTAGTTTAGATCCCAAAGTTTCCAAAGACACCAAACACGTCAGGCTGGTTTGACTCCAAAAAACACTTTCCTTACAGACTTAACTTGACTTTAACAACCTTAAAGCTGCTTATTTATGCAGAAAAAACATCCAACCAAAGTCAACGATGCTTCAGAGTTTCACCAGACGTGTCAGACCGGCTGTTGATGAGACTTGCAAAACTAATTATCAAGAATATTCTATTGAAGGCCCATTCTTTAGATTAAACTGACAGTGTTTGTGTTTCTGTGTGGCTCACGTGTAAGAATATCAGTAGAGCTGCTTTATTGAAACTGAAATAAACCTAAAAAATGTTATTTCTGCAGGAAAACGTTCGTCTGTTGTGCTGCCGACACTCACGCCCGCTGCCGAGGGCCCAGCCGCCGCCGTGGAAGTAGATGACGCCTCTCTTCGGCCTGGAGCCCCCGCTGGGCTCGAACACCCGGGTGGGGACTCCCCCCAGCGTGGAGTCGGCGACGTGCACGGCGGCGCTGGACCGGGCCTCGATCACCTCCACCCAGGACACCACCCGGTTCAGCAGGTGGACCCGGTGGCAGACGCCCAGAGCGTGGGCCACGTCGCTCTGCAAGAGAGGCCACACGTTTGGCGAATTAGCACAAGAAAGTAACGGCTAAGTGGAGCTTTTGTTCTTCCTCCTGTGATTGTGTGGCGAGAAAAACAAGGCGGATCAACAAAGAGGCTGCAGGGAGCCGCCGAGCGGGGCGTGAAATCAGGTTTCACACACAGAGCTCATGTAAAAACTTGCAGCGCCGGAGATTATCAGAGCTTAAACGCGACATGTTACATGAGATCTGCAGCTCCAACACGTGTGAATTTATCAGGGGAGCAGGTCAAAGGCTTCTGTTCACGTTATTGCGACAACTCTTGCAGGATTTCACTCGTCATGAGGGTTCGGTTGTGCAAAGCAGCTTCAGCTCTAATAGTACAATAATGATCAGGATCCTCATTTCTGGAGCACTTTCAAGCTGAAGACGTAAAACCAGGCAGATAAAAAAAAAACAATCTGGTGTTAAAAAAAGGTCAAAACAATTCAATTATATTCACTTATTATAAACTTTACGTTGAATTCTTTTATACTACGTTACTTCCAGCACAATGTTGTGTAACAAAGTACTGCTTCTTGTACTACATGCTACTGCGTTGCATCATCAGACTTCACTGTATTTACCTTCATTATACCATATGTACTACACTGTATACACGACAGTACTGTGATATTCTATGTTACACACGAGTAGCATCAACTGTAATACTGTACACAACTCTTAACTATACTGTGTACTAAACTAAAGTCAGGTGTACACTGTACTACTACACTCAGATACTACAGAGCAGACTGGAATACTGCATACTGGTTACTGTACTATAACTACTGTATGTGCTACTCTCCTGAATACTACAACATACTGCATTATTCAACGTACTAAAGTCTACTGCATAGTAACAGTAAACTAGAATACTGCTCATTGTACTCATCATTACACAATACTAGTATGTTATTTTACTACACTGTACTATATTCTCATCCAAACCCTACATTACTGTGATTCAGTATAATTCACTGTACTTTACTTGCAGTACTGTATTTTATTCTGTACTGTATTACACAGTACCACAAGTACAATATTATACTACACAATAGTATATCTTAAAGTACAAAAAAGCATATTTTTCAAGTGTGAGAAAGCAGATGAGAATACTTCTTACAGTACTATACCCCACTATAAAGTACCAGAAGTATACTACACTATATTATACTAAACAATACCTTTGTATACTCCAAACTAAAGTTCACTATACTCTGAGAGAATTCACTGTAATACACCGTACTATACTGAAGTACACTATGCAGTACTAGTCTTCACTCTGTACTGTATTACACAACACCACACGGGAGTAGCAGTACTTAATACTGTGCTGTTAAACTAAACTACAGCCTGCTGTCAAGTAGAAACAAGCAGAAAGAATACTTCTTACTGTACTATAACCTACTGGAGTATATCATGAGTACACTGTATTATATCACTATACTGCAAACTAAACTACACTGCAGTACAATATGCAGTACTATTCTGTATTCTATACTACGTTTCATAATACCACACAAGAGGAGCAACACATAGAATACTACACACAGTACATGTACACACTGAGTACTGTAGCAGATAATAGTGAAGTTAGTATTTACTTTAGTATAATAAAATACTGTATAATAAAGTATAGTGGAGTCTAGTATGCAGTATTCCAGAAGGATATAGTACAATATGCAGTACTCCAGTGTACTCTGTCCTACGTGTTAACTTTAAATCCTCTGTCATCTCTTATTATTATTATTATTATTATTATGTATTCTGGACTATCGCTCCTCTACTCTCCTCATCAGCCTCCTCCTCTGCTCTGGTTCCGCTCCCTGACCGTCACCTGTCCGCTGCCTGAGCTTTCTGCCTGTTCCAGGTGTTCTTCCTCCACATCAACCTGTCGGTGCGTCTCACCGCCTGCATGAAGCTCCTGAACAGCGCGTCCAGCAGCATCAGCTTCCACGGCTCGCTCACTCCGCTCGGCAGCGGCAGGTAGACGTAGTAGGCGGCCGCCGACAGCAGCACGGCTCCGGCCAGACGGAGCCTCATCGCGGCGGTGTGTACCTGCGCGGAGACCTGCCGATCATGCGGGAGCAGCCTCCACCCTCCACCCGGTCCCGGCGGTCGGTGGCTCCGCCAGGGATCGACAAAACACGGATGAATGACCCCGATTTCAAGATAAAAGCCCGGAGCGGCGTTTGTACCGACGCCAGAAGCGACGCGCGTCTTATTTTGAAAATCTTTTTTTAAGGATGTAGTTTTAGACTTGCGTAATGCCGGTGCTCATGGGAAATGTAGTCTCGTTTTAGATTTTAGTAAGAAAACCAATATTAATCCTGATACAAACACACAGTTTTCAGATACTTGATTTTTCTTTTTTTAATCCCCATTTTCTGTTTCAGGCACTGCAGCCCTGAGGACACTCCTCCTATTGAGCCGTTGTACTGACCTGTCAAATTAAAATATGACTCATTCTGTAGTCTTTCTAACATTTCTTGAGTATTGTTATTGTTCTTCACTATTGTCTCTCAAGCTTACGAGAACAGTTGTACCCAAACTCAGACCTTCAGGGGGATTCCAAGTTTCCACTCAGGTTTGAGCTTTTTAAACCTAAAGTGTGAGGTTTGGTTCAGGTAACGTTTCCAGAACAGTCCCATGAAGGTTCCAGTGCATTAACCTTGTCCACACCCTGCCAACACCCTGCTGTCTTTTATTAAGTTTAGGCGTACAGACCTATAGATGCACAAAGAGTGACTGGTAACCAAAATATCTTCTGTACTTTCAAACAATCGTTGACCAGGGTTGCTAGAATGACTGCTGTGTGCCAAAAACAGATTTTCCAGCATTACCACTGAACAAACCCGAAGAGCTCACTTCACTGGGAAGTTGATTTCTGTTTTTGGGTGAATTGTGACGTTATTCCTGAGAACAGAACCTGATCATTTACTGGGAGAATATTGGACTAAAGTATGTACCGTAAAGACCTACGCAAACACCTTTAGTCTGACTCAACGGATGTAAACCTCACTGCAGGAAACGACAACAACCGCCAAGCAGCCGCCAACCTCCCAACAGATTTGGATCATGCAGTCAAGCCGACCTGCTTGGTTCTTTGGGTTGTAAAGGTCCACAGAGAATGTTTATGACATCTGCTGTCTGACAAGGATGTTCTTGTGTGTTTGCACGCAGGTTATGGAAAAAGTTTTCTTTTTGAAGTCTGTCAGTCCAACATAATCATGATTGGTTTCACGCACGGCTGCACAATGATAGCAGCATTACCAGTATCCGTCGATAACGGCTTTAAAAATGAATCAGATTCGACCCACGACGGACACTGACGGGCAGGTAATGCCTGCTACCCTAAAAGTTAACAGTTTTGTTTGAAGGTGTAACATAAAAATAAATGTGGTATGTTTTACATGTAGTACTTTTGTTAGTGAACGTAAACATTTAAAAAGCATTCAAACCAGCCATGATAAGCGCAGGCACAACACTGTGTCAAGTCCACAACTGAAGAGACCTGATGCTCTCTACTATCATGAGGACAGCGTATGTGTTTATGCTGGTATCAGCCAAAATGAATTATTATTTAATACTGGAAAAATTCACGACTGCACATCCCAACCTTTGGAGCTTTTTGCCACAATTCATGTTCAGCAGGGTAAGAACTTGGGTAAGAAGTTATTTCCTCTTCAGTAAAGGGATAACTGTTGTATTTATATGACTTTTTTCCCCCCTTCGTACGACATAACTTTATTTTCGTGACTTTAGTTGTAATCAATTTAGGCTGTTTCATGTTAAGATGGTAAAATATAGCAAATACACGTCTTTTTCCGCAATGTCTTTCCAGCTATTTATTCTTATCTTTTTATTATCAATAATTATTGTTATTATTATTATTTAAGGAGGTCCTGAAAGCCTACCCAGCTGTCCAATGTTCTTGTATTTATTAGTCTTAAACAATGACGTTTGTCGTCTTTGATGAATGATGATTAGTTTAGCCTTTCTGACTGACAAATCGACCACACAGCACTTATTCTGTTAACAAAATAATCCTTCACAGCCTGAAGTCAAACTAATAAATCCATCCATTATATATACACCACTTAAACATGTTTTTGGACTGTGGGAGGAAGCCTGAGAACTCCACACCCAAAGATCCCAGGTATCCTAACTGGGATGCGAACCAGGAATCTTCTAGCTGCAAGGCAACAGTGCTCACCATCGAGCCACCTTGCAGCCCATGAATACAGTCAGAAGTCTTGAAATTCAAGCCAAACCTTTAATACTTCTGTAAAACGTCACTAGCATGCAACTGGCAGTGACTCGTTCTGCACAGATCTGGCTCGTGTTGAATAAGTGTAAAACAGCAGCTAAAGAAATGAAGAACAGTGTTGCTCAAATCACATGACGACACCTCAACATCTATCTCTGGGTCCTGCAATGCAGTGGATGTCTGATAGCAGCTAATGAGCTACACCTGCCTTCAACTGCACACACCTGTGTCTAGTTCATCAATAACGTAGGCGGAGTCGGCCTATAAAAGGATCCAGCGCAACCTCAGTAACTTATTGTTTTGTGTTTAGTTCTCTGCTTTGGGGCAGCTGACAGAAGTGGCTGAGCTGACTGTGGCTGAAGGCATGGAGTTTCTCTGCAGGTAAGTGTTCAGCTTCTTTTTTTTTTGACTAATTAGGTTTCAAATTATTGTGAAAACACAGTAACTTGGTTGTCTTGTCTAGATGGTTGCTGTTGTTCTTGCTAGCTGTTGGAAGACATCATATAAATGGTAAGCCTGCTGAAATGAAGTCACTGTAGTGGTTCTTGGTTGTATACGGGGACTAAAATATTGACTCAACAGCCTACAGTATTGGATTGGTTGAGGACCATGGAGCTAAGGAAG